TCGCTACTTGACCATTTTGAAAATATTACTCAAGAGTAAAAATTGACTTTTTATCCCTCAATTTCTCTGCCCTCTAGTTGTTTCCAAACTCCCCCTTTCTGCTCATTCTGAGAATGTGTTTGAATGTTAATAGGACTGTAGCTGAAATACATATTCGCTCAAGTCTGTCTCTCTTTTGAAGCTTGGTTTTATTTTTGATGCTTATAACAGGTGTTGGTTTAATAGGTTTGCTGTATTTGGTTTTTTCTCCCCAGAGCCCTGCCAGCACTGTAAATTGACACTAGATGAAGGCTAAACGTGATTTCTCCCCGCCTCCATTCTTCTCTCACATTAAACATTTGCAGTGCACACTACTACAGCTCAGACAGCATCGACTCAGGTCCTGTCTCTTTGAGAAATTTGCACTGATCTAATTTAAATCCATTTAAACTGATGCAAACCTTCTTATTTTCCATTGAAGAGTGGCTTTCTTTTGCTTAATTTAAACTGATTCTTAATAGGGTGAATCTAAAGTGAAATAAGCCTGATTGAAACCTAAATAAGGGAGTCCACACAGCTTTCTGAACAGGTTTAACTACACCCTATGTTGAATTGGCCAGTGCACCTTTATTGTATAAAAAAGCCCTTTGTAGCAGTGAAAGGTGAATTCTCTTTCAATTAGTACCAGTGAAAAATGTCTCACCAGCCTGTTCATCAATAAATATTCATTAAAACATTTAGCACTAGGGATATCCCCGGGGATTAAGGTGTAACTTTACCTCTAAAATACAGGCCTGGATTCCTGGAAATGCTGTGATCTTTTGAACTTGTGCCATCTGTCTTCTCCCCCCCCCCCCCCGACTTAACCCCCCCCCCCACACACACACACAGCCCTTCTCTTTGTTTCCTTTGAACATTCCATTTGCTTTTTAAATTTTAAGCCATTGAGCAGTGCCGAAGAGTGCCAAGGAAGTATTCACTACTTATTGGAAACCGGCTCTCAGCTTCTGGCTGGGTTGGGGAGTGGATGGTTTGGGAGCTTCATCTGAATAGTTTGGAATACCAGTGGGCATGTTCCACAGCTGTACAAAGATGAGGAAAGCTAACATAGCGGAGTATGTAGGATTTACTTTGCGCTTAGAATATTTTGCTCATTTAGCACCTTTTACAGTTATTACAGACCTGAATGAGTTTAGCCTCATAGCATCCTGGTCAAGACAGATGAGTAAACTGAAGGTACAGAAGAGTCAAGTGACATGCCCCAGGCATGAGTCAGTACCAGAGCTGGAAGCTAGATGGTCAGAGACTTGGCTGCCAGTCCTGGCTCTAATGACTGGATCTCATATTAAGCATAGTCATCTTGTACTCTTGCGGTCACAATGGCTGAAATGAGACAGTAAAATTGTTCCCATGGGTTGTGCTACATGGGGAAGCGTGGGGGGGAGCACCATGTATTTGTGTTTCAAGGCTGATCAGGTATTTTCGTTGAAATTTCTTCTGTAACCTGTGCAGTTTAGTAAGTTAAGATAAGGAGTACACAGTAAAATCCCCCTCTTTCCCAGCCATTTTGAAGGGGGAGGAGAGATCAGGGCATAACGTCCTCACAATTTACTCTGCTTTCAAATTGCCTTGGGACTGGTAAGGAAGGAAACTGAGTGAAAAAGTCCCAAGCCATAACAGGAAGGGTTAAACTGTGTTTCGGTGTCTACTGAAAGCACAAAAAAGAAAATGTAATCAAGCTGGTGAAGGTTTGGAATAAGTTGTATTTATATCACACGCTGTGTATAGGAAAAGTCATCGGGGCTGGTTTTGTTTGAAGTGCGATGTTCCGAGATGGCACAGTGCTCGCAGCAAACTATCTGATGTTCCCCAGCTGGAACTGGCTGGAGGTGGTGCTGGGAGTCATTACTTACCGCTGGAGTTGGCCCATCTTTGAGAGGGAAAGAGAGAGAGAGAGAGAAGCCTGGCTTTCCTATGTGAAATAATGCACTCCCCCCACCCCTTCCTTAATCTATTAGCTGCAGCACAAGAAAAAGCAACAGCTGAATGGACGGAAGTCACCTGGAAACTGCTTGAACATGGCTCAGACCAAAATAGTATCTTCCACTTCACCCACCTTTTCCTTTCCTTCTTAAACTGGGCCCTATGGTAAACTCTGGGACATTGTGCTTTTGATGCATGGTATACATACAGTAATATTAATATTCCAAAAAATGACTGTCTGTTTCTACTTCTGAACTGCTCTGCATGACTGAAACCATTTCATGCTTTCAGTCCCTTACAGAGTTACTGCTTTTTGTGTTTAGTAATCACCAGGTAATTTATAGATTCTTGACGTTCTTTTTTATGAAGCTACAATTCCTGGTAATTTACAGCTAGATTCTGATTGCAGTTACAACAGTAGGTCTGAGACCAGAGTTGAACGCATAGTTCCTGATTCAGCACAGCTTTGAAACGCACGCTTAAGTTTATTCCTATTTAGCAAAGCACTTAAGAATGTGTTTATCCGATGAAGTGAGCTGTAGCTCACGAAAGCTTATGCTCAAATAAATTGGTTAGTCTCTAAGGTGCCACAAGTACTCCTTTGCTTTTTAAGGTGCCACAAGTACTCCTTTTCTTTTTATCTTTTAAGTACATGCTTTGCGGAACAGAAATGGATTTTAAGTGTGTTGCTTAAAGTTAAGTATGTTCTTAGGTGCTTTCCTGATTTGGGCTCTTAGCCACGGTTTGTTTTGGCATTACCTATTATTGCACTCATTTTAGAGGGATCCTGTCAGCTTGAAAAATCATATTTCTGTCCTAAAAGGAACCTGCTGAAGTGACAAATTCAGATTATTAACACAGGGCAATGGGTGTAAGAGAAATTCTTTTCTCCAGGAGTTTAATTTATGGATGTGACAGCCCCTTTTGGATAGTCCATTTCACTGTTTTCCCTTAGGCATACAATCAGAATATACAGTTATAATATACAGTATCGGGGTATGTCTACATGGGGATTAAAAAACCCATGGCTGATTCAGGTCTGCTGATTGAGGCTCAGGCTCAGGGTTAAAAATTGGTGTGTAGACACTCAAGCTCCAGTTGCAGGGCTTTTATTGCCATGTAGACATACCCTCTGGGGCTCTGTCCAGGCTCAGGGATCCCTCTCATGTAGAATTCATTGCAGGAATGAGAGGGCCAAAGTTTGTTTCTTCCTTGCTAAAAAGACCTTTACATATATCAATAAGGGGAGCAAAAATAAGTTATTTCAAATATTTTTAAGGATTTTTTTTTTTTTTTTTTAAATTTCAGGATGCAGGGCTTGACTCTCATTTATTCTAAGGCCTGTTTATGCCACTTGGCAACATATGAAGTGAGCTGTAGCTCACGAAAGCTCATGCTCAAATAAATTGGTTAGTCTCTAAGGTGCCACAAGTACTCCTTTTCTTTTTGCGAATACAGACTAACACGGCTGTTACTCTGAAACCTGTCATTAAATTTGACACAGTGTCTTTTTAAACCACCAGCTTAGTCTGTGGAGAAACCATCAGTTTGTATTAACGAGAGGGAAAGAGGACATTGTGCTGTGGAGAGAGATCTTTTCTCACTGTTCGTTAAAAACATTTTCAATTCACTGAGCTGGGCTTCTGTTAAAGGGTTTTGTCTGGACTTATAAAGGCCGGGGAGGGTCTGGAAACAGAGAGAGGGAGATGGCAAGGACATGTTCAAAGATAAATGCCTGCATGTGAGTACTGGATCCCAAGTGTTTGTTTAAAAGAGATTCCTCTGGATCTGGAGAGCCTGGTGTTCCCATTTTGCATTCAAGAATGCTTTGCCTGACTGCTGGCTCCCCACCCCTCTCCATTTACTTAGAGGGTAGCTGGCGTGATTAAGCTGTAGTCTTTGTCTGAAATCACTTTACTATCTCTTATTATTCAACAGGTTCTCAAGTGTCTGTGAATGTCTCTATTTAGAGCTGTCTGTTTCAGCCTTGCTGGTAATAGCAGTGACTGTTCATGCTGGTCTAAATTCATGTCAGTCATCTGCTTTACTACTTGTGTCTAATGCCCAATATATAGAGAGAGATTTTAAAGTCTGGTTACTGTTCTTCCTTCTGAGTCAGGCCAAAAAGGAGTTAGAAAGAAAAGAGAGGGCTTTTATTTTAAAACTAAACTCTCCAGGTGCAAACAGATTTGGAGCTCTTCAGTTGTTTGACAGCTGTGGAAATCCAGTGAGTGATTTGTAATGCTTTCTGTGAGCAAAACAATTCCAATGTTAAATCTCCAGACTATTGATGAAAATGCAGCTGGCTTGAATCATTACTTTGGGGCCAGATCCGACAAACGCTGCTGAGTGCGATGCTTAGTGCCGAGAGTTATTCTAAGCACACAGTTTGGTCTAGGGTAGTAAACAATATGCTAGGAAATGATTGCAGAATCAAGCCCCTGGATACTGTTTCTATGTGTTAGAAATCATTGTAATATAGTTTAGAGCTGGGACTTTTCAAAAGGGCCTAGCACCTAGGCAAACAACCCCCAGAGGCTTTCACTGGGATTTGGGTGTCTCTTTATCTCCCTTTGAAAAATCCCAGCCTGTGTGTGTTATGTTGGAATTTTGGCAATTTGCTAAATCATCAGTCGACACTGGGAGAATTCCTGTGACAATCCCAATCCTGTAGTCTCTCTTAATAATGCATTTATCTTGGGAGTTAAGGGGATGGAAGGGATCCAGAATTGGGCCCAAATCTCTGGAAGGCGAATGCATCAGTGGACTCGGTAGTTATCGAAGAAAGTCTTGTACCAAAATAGAAAAAACTCCAAATGTTTGTGATTTATTACAATCTGACTAGCCAGAGAAACAGCAGGGAGCCAGTGTATGTATCTCTGACACTGGTTTCTGATTGGACCGTTGTTTCAGAAATACATTAAATACCAGTGTGGAAAGCCAACTGGCGACTGATGGAATCAATTGCTCTCTCTGGTTATATTTTTTTTTCTTTAAGGAAACTTGATTCTCTCCAATTCTCATCCTGTCTGTTTCAGGCATCACAACAGGATCCGCAGCATTGAAGCAAGTCAACTGAAGCCTTACGTTGCCCTGGAAACATTGGACCTGAGTTCCAATGACATCACGGAAATACGAAGCGGCTGCTTTCCACAGGGACTTCCCATAAAGGAGCTGTAAGTTCTTCTTGTTCAGAACAGCATTAGTCGAGTTACCGCAGAAAAAAGGAGGCCTTTAAAATTGCCTTTAAAAAAGGGTTGCTAACAAACATTTCAAATAGAGCATTATAACTGTGGGTTCTAAATGCAACAGTGAATTAAAACTCAGCCAGTTCTGTCTGTCCCCTTGCCTCCCACCCCCACCAGCCTTGTCTTTTTGTTATCGGATGTATCTGTGAATAATGCAGGGACGTCATTTTGCCAGTTGCACTGGGAGCGGTGTACGGTGACAGAGAAAGGCACGTGTGCCCTTCAGGTACGGGCATCCTGCATTGCTACGGAAACCTGAAGCCAAAACAACTATCCAGAGCAGGGACAGCTCTTCCATAATGGGAACCCTAGAAACATGAGGCTGGAAGAGAGGGTGTCTAGTCCGCCCCTAGGCTGAGGCAGGATTAAGCATACCTAGCCTAGACCATCCCAGACAGGGGTTTGTGTACCTTGAGGTCTGTGCCTTGCTTCTGAAATCAGACACGTGCAGCTGGGGAAAAGTGGCTGTTTTCCTTGTGATCACATATTCACATTAAAATGGACGTTGGGTAACCCTTGTTTTTAAAGCCATACATACCAGCGGTCAGTGGGAGCCAAACGAGCTCCCCTTGAGCCATGCAGGAAAAATACAACATAATCCTAACGTGTATGGGGTCAGTGATATATGTTATGTGTTTTCTAGAAGGCGCAGAATAACCACAGGTTCTGCTCATAAGCCAGGCTTGTGCATAAGGAGTGTGTATGCTGTGGGTTTGGTCTCACTCCTCTGTCTGGAGGCCATCAATTTTTGGAACCATCAGAATGAGGTGACAGCAATGGCCCCTGTATGCCGTGGGTCTGACAATGAGCCCCCCGACTGTCTCCTTCATTGGAGTAGCTGGTGCCAAGCATCTCTGAAGGGGCACTCAGCACCTTCCATTGCTAGGTGCTGGCAATGTGTTCTGAGAAAGCGTGTTTGTTTTTATTTGTCCCCAAACCTGCTCAGTTCCAATGTAATGTGTCTAATTTCACCAGCCCGTTTGAAGACCAAGCAAAGGCTGATAACTAACAACGAAGTCCTCTGACACAACCGTTACGTTTTCTGTGCTGATTTATTACAGCAACCTGGGGAGCAACAGAATCAGCACCCTGGAGCCTGGTGCTTTTGATAGTCTGTCACGGTCCCTGCTAACACTTCGACTGAGTAAAAACAGGATCACCCTGCTTCCTGTTAAGGCATTCAAGTTACCCAGGCTAACACAACTGTGAGTAGAAATGTGCACCTTAATTAAGGTTAACCAAACTTTATGGAGACAAAATTTCCCTGAGGACATACACACCAAATGCAACCCTTCCTCACCCTACATCTATAAAACTTGGAATAAGCTATATTTAATAGTCCTATGGCGACACCTAATAAAACAAATTAGGAGAGTGCGGGGGTGGGGTGTTTTGTGTGTGTTTGTCCGTCTTGTACCTATTACTTATTTAGGTCACTCTTTTTAGATGAAAAAAATGTAACTGATGAGCTTCTCAGCTATTTACAGTATCAAATAGATCTGTTTCCCTTACAGCAGCTGATAAAAAAAAATTTTTGGTTGGGGAAAAAATGTGTTTTGCAAGTGGGCAGAAAGAGCTGAATGACAGCGTTATGTTTTCGAGACCACACAGGTATCTTTATGCGGCAATAAAAATGCAACGAAGGAAGGTCGTTAAACTGTGCAGTGATATTTGAGTAGACAAAAGAGTACTTTTGATGAGCTAACACACACGTTGCTATTGTTTTGGCTGCAGTACAGCGTGAGCTATGTAGGCAGAGATCTACATGTGCATCTATAAGTGTGCCTTATATGTAAATAGTCAATCTAAGAGTTCAGCTTTTCCCCTTTACAGGCCGGATCAGATGGTATGATGGGATAGCCTAATTTTGGCAATTAATTGATCTTTGTCTATTAGTGGTAATTCTGCCCAGTGGCCTGTGATGGGATATTAAATGGGGTGGGATCTGAGTTACTACAGAGAATTCTTTCCTGGGTGTCTGGCTGGTGAATCTTGCCCACGTGCTCAGGGTTTCAGCTGATCGCCATATTTGGGGTCGGGAAGGATTTTCCTCCAGGGCAGATTGGCAGAGGCCCTGGGGGTTTTTCGCCTTCCTCTGCAGCATGGGGCATGGGTCACTTGCTGGAGGATTCTGTTCACCTTGAAGTCTTTAAACCATGGTTTGAGGACTTCAGTAGCTCAGACATAGGTCAGGGGTTTGTTTCAGGAGTGGGTGGGTTAGATTCTGTGGCCTGCGTTATGCAGGAGGTCAGACTAGAAGATCATAATGGTCCCTTCTGACCTTAAAGTCTATGACTCTATCTAAAGCCCGCTGCAGTCTTTTCACTGAGTTTGGTGGGCTTAGGATCAAGCTCTGTTTGCACAAAAGACCATAGAGAAGATTGAAACCAGTACCTCTAAATGGCAAACCATCACCACCCCATTAAGTAAACCCAAAGCGCCCAGAACAGTTTTGTTCAAGCTTTAGTCATGGTCAGTGGATATCGAAGGTCAGGGGAGGGTAAGCTTCCCCATACCCAGGCCATGTTCTTGCCCATGCTCTGCCCTGAGGCCCTGCTCTTACTCCCCCTGTCACCTGAAGCTGGCAGGTGGTCTGGAGCTCGGGGCTCAGGCTAGGGGCAGCCTGGGGCGACTTGGACTGGCCTGGGGGTGGGGTCGGCCGGAGAGGCTGGGGCAACTCGGGCTGGCCAGGGGGTCAGGCATCTTGAGGCAGCTGGGGCAGGCCAGCCAGAGCTCTAGCCATGGGGTGGAGGGGCTTAGAACTCCAGCAGGCGGGGGGGGGGGGGGGGGTAGCTGGGGGACTAGCCTCCCTGAAGTGGGGGTTCTGCCACCGCCCGGGCTTCAGTTAAAAACTACTCCTACGACCCAGCCACATTCTGCTTGTCCCTTGGGAAGCTTGCTTATGAGATGCTTGACTGCGTACATCCATGGGTGTAAATTTTCCATTGGATGCATACAGGATTCACGTTTCCTTCAGCATTGAACATCTACCAGGAGGTTTTGAAGAAGCTATTTAGGAGCAAGTTTCATGGAGAGTCAGTGGTATTTGAGCTCCTAAGCCCCTTAGGAGGAAGGTTTTCAGATGAGTCTAATTTTCCCTCGTATGGATATAGGAGTGAACATCTACCCATGTAGAACTGCATGCAAAGGGGCATTGATGGGGCGGCCAGAGTTTTAGAATTAATCCTGTTTAACTTTTCAGGTGAAGTATGGCTGAGTAGGATTGCTAGCAATGCTGCAGAGCAGGAAGTGGCAAGCTTGAAATAGTCGTGCTCAGAAAGGGTGTGAGAATAGCATTAAAACTGAGTTTTAATCCCCCCAAATCGGAAAGCAGCTGCTTCTGCCGCTCCTCCCCTGCCGCCCCCCCCCCTCCCCCCCCGTGTATTGCCCATGTTGCTACCTTGGCTCCCACTGGGAAGTGGAGAAGGCACCTCCATCGGGTTGGTTTTGCACCCCAGCAAGCTGGTGTCCAGGTAACTGCTGTACACACACAATGTAGGCATTGCATAGGCATTTTTGCAGGTAGGCTTGAGTGTACTATGAAAGTTTGACCTTCCTGTTTAAATCTATACACCATGCTGGATGAAATCCTCCCCCTATTGAAGTCAATGGGAGTTTTGCCACTGACTTTAGTGGGGCTGGCATTTCACCCTGGTGCCTAGATCTAACTCATGGCATGATTTGTAACTACCTGTTCTAATGCCCTTGGTATAGGTTAAGTCAAGTCACCCAGTATATTCACGTATTATTGGTGAGTATAGTGCACAGAAATAACTGGCTTTCCTAAGTTTTATTTAAACTTTCCTTAGTTTAAAAAAATGCTTAATAAAGCAAACATTTTGGAGGTCTCATCGGATACCTCTTGTTTCTTTATTGATTACTTTCTTAATATAGGGAAAAAAAGGCTAAATTTGTCAAGGAAACTGAAGGGGTTATCCTTCCAAACTAGTAATAAAATTTACATCTGGGGTCACACTTGACATATGTTTGTCAGAGTAAATTTTTACTGGCCCGTTACAAGCCACAAGCCTTTATAAACAGAGGTTTGTAAGGATGTAATGCTGATCCCTAACTGTATGGGTTTGAATGGTGCTTCTGCATTGGAACAGATGAATTGTGAAGATTGAACTCAATTGATAAAAAGTATAAATGGCTTATCCGAAAACTATATGGGGGAGGGGATTACTAATCTACATCCATTTTACTTATTGCCCTATATTGGAGTTTCCTCAGGGCTAGGGTGACCAGACGTCCCGTTTTTAAAGAGACAGTCTGGTTTTTGGTCTTTTTCTTATATAGGTGCCTATTACCCCTCCACCCCATCCCGTTTTTTCACCGTTGCTATCTGGTCACCCTACTCCGGGCTTAAATTCAGCTGGAGCAGAACTGAAGCCTCAAGCCCCCAATGGTTGGGGGGTCCGGGAAACACTCTGAGAATTTAAGCTCTGAGTTTGCTCAAGAAGGAGTTTGTTTAAGAGAGAATGGGCCCCGCTGATTTTCCTGGCCCGTTTCCGATACTCTTCTGCTCTCTCATGGGAACAGTTCATGGAGAAGTTGTCGGCATTCCTCCGCCCCATTGTGTGTCACGCAGATGATTGCATGACAAAGGACTGGGACTTAATACATTTCCACGGTGTTGATGATTTCAGGGAGTTAAACCGCAATCGCATCCGCCTGATTGAAGGCCTGACGTTCCATGGGTTGGACAGCTTAGATGTTCTGAAGCTGCAGCGCAATGACATAAGCAAACTGACCGATGGGGCCTTCTGGGGTCTGGCCAAGATGCAAGTTCTGTAAGTTGGGGGAAAGATTTATTTTCTACTTCTCCCGTGACCTCCTCCTTTCCCCCACAGTTCTTCCAGGGACTGGTGGGCACTCTTGACATATGACCTGCCGTCACACAATGGCCGGTGGAGGATTTCTGTGCTCTGAGATCTTCGGTTCGGCCTCTCATCCACTAGATACCCAGTCTCTGCTCTGCTTTGTCACCTCCACACTGCTTTACTTGAGGCGATAGTAAAAGGAAGGGAAGGTGTAAAGGTGTAATGCCTTTCCTGGTGCCTCTCTCTGTGCCATGCATGCACTGGATTGCTGCCATATGTAATCCTTCTTCCCCTTTCTCCAGCAACCTGTTTCCCTGTGTCAGTGTATTGAGTTTGGCTGCCTATGCTTGACTGGTGGTTCTGACCAGATTACACTAGTTGAAAGGATTACTGTTTCCAGGTAAATTTCCATTGCTCTCGTCTCTTGGATGCTGCCCTCATTTAGTGTCCTGAGAAACACCACCTGCTATGCGGAGATATGACACCAATATATCCTACACTGCTTAGAATATGGTCCCAGAGATCCCTGGCTTCTGAATGCTGCCAGCCAGACGTTCAGTACACATCCTCGGGAAGGGATTATTTCAGAGACATCATATATATTTGTGTGCAGACTAAAGCCCTGATCCTGCAGTGTGCCTCTCGGGACCCCATTGACTTCAAAGGGGCTCTGCATGGGGACACACCCATGTGCCTCACATTGTAGGATCTCCTTGCATTACCACTGTGATTAGGCAACCATCCATGGAATTGACTTGGAGTGGAAGCTGGACAGAAGGATTTAACAACAGTCTCTCTCCACCTCCACAGCATGGTCAACTAGAGCTCTTCTAGTAAGATTTCAAATCGACCATCTATGTCTTATGTACAAGGTAGAATCCTCTTGAAATATGTCTGTATTCTTTAGAAATCTTTAGGAAACATTGCAAGGCCTTTCCAGCATAAGTGACATTCACAGTTCAAATACCCTTTTATTCCCAAACCCTTTTCAATTCCCCGACCCCTCCCCCCTCCACCCCAAACCCAAATCCTAACCCAACATAGTGTTGATCTCCAAAAGGGAGATGTGCCAGAAACTCCATGAGATCCAGTAAACTTTGCTGTTGGTTTTACATGGAAGGCACTCAAATGCTGTGATGGTGAGCAGCAGTATAAAACCCTAAAATAGATAAACAGCAATGCCAGAGACTTCTTAAAGCTTGTTGATACACAGTGATTAGCTTTGTCCAATTCTTTAGGGGAATATAAAAGAGTTTGGGCAATACCATTTAGCCTTTGTTGCAACAGGGCTCTGGGAACTAACTCCTGGTTTGGCATTGGGAGAAGGCGTGGAGTGTGCATGGGAGGCAGTTTTCACATCTGAACAAAGGATGATTAAATAGCTCCATATTTTTTTTCTCCTGCGTGTCCTTGTATTTGCATGCTCAGCATGCGGCCGTGCACAGATGCGTGCATGTGTGGGTGTGTGTTGAGAGGTACAGAACTGGATTTAAAAGAAAAGTGAAGATTTTATAGAAAGTTTCCCAGCTCTTTTTGGAAGTCCTCAACTTCATCAAAATGAGACTGGTGCTGCCTCATGGATAGTCTGTCATTTATCCTGCTTGTCTTCATAGGCACCTGGAGTATAACAGCCTGACACAAGTGAACAGCGGCTCCCTCTACGGCCTCTCATCTCTCCACCAACTTCACCTCAGTAACAACTTGATATCCTACATCAACCCCGAGAGCTGGAAGTTCTGTCAGAAGCTGCATGAGCTGTAAGTTGCTTCCTGATAGTCATAATGACCTTGTTAGTTATTATGATACCTGCTCGAAAGGTGTTTGTGCTGGGCATAAGGAATAGATCCTGCTAAAAACAAATACGGTCGTTTACAGGGACTAAAAGGCAGATTGAGGTCATAGTTTGTGGCTCCTTTTAGGTTATCTAGTTGCAAGACTTGTGTTCTCTTGCACTGAATAAACTGTACAGCTCAGAGGAAACTTTGCGTGATTAGTCTGTATTTTACAGTTGACATAATAAATAATCACATTTAAACCACCTAATATCTGGCTACCTCAAAAGCAATGAGTGAAGTGTTTTACTCTTGTCCCTTCTGTTTGTACATGACTCTTACTATAGGGCTCATCTGTTGGAAGGTAAACACGTTGGCCTCATTCTCCTGAGATTCCCAGCTGTGAACATTTCATTTACGATCTCTTCGATAAATAAAAATGTATGCGGCCTCAGGGGAGAGATGTCGGCATCTCTGTCACTGCTAATGTTCAGATGAAGGAGAAACATTTAGGATGCTTGCAATATTGACAGGACTAGCAGTCACCCCCTAAACATGCTTAGCTGTCTGGTTAGAAAACACAATATAGATTTGTTTTTAAAAGAAAAACGTGACAAGTTCAGTTTTATTATGGAAATGTAGCTCCTGCTTTCAGATTCATCCTGCTTGGAGATTCATAGATTCCAAGGCCAGAAGGGACCATTGTGATCATCTAGCCTGACCTCCTATATAACACAGGCCAGAGAACTGCCCCCAGAATAATTCCTAGAGCAGATCTTCTCAAGCTAAACATTTTTAGGAGTTCCCCCTTCCATTGAGAAAGATACTAGATCTCAAATTCAGAAATGTTTTGATGATGAGAGAAGAAATATTGTCTGGAGAAAATGTTCATGAACAATTCATCTAATTTATCAGACGTGTCTGAGACTGGCTGCTCTGAAAGGTACTTCCTCCTGCAGCGATACACTCAGCATGTAGCCTGATAACTGCAGGCTAGCTGCCATAAAGAGCTATGTTTGATATTTCACTAGCTCAGGATGGCGCTAAGAACTTTCCCACACTTCAGTGATGAGGCTCAGTGGCCTACTCGGTGAGTCAGCACATTGCCTCACCCACGTCCTGCTCAAACCTAAAGAATCAAAGGGAAGAAAGTCTTCATTCTCTGGACATTTCTGTGGAAGGGTAGCTCTAACTGGGCAGAATGGCCAAATATGGAGTCACAGAGGGTATTGATCCTGCACTAAGGAGAACACTATTGTCAGCCAAGTCATAGATCTGGAAAGAGATTAAGAAAATGATCAGTGGCCTACATTGTTGTTGAGGAAAAGGTGCCAGGCCATTAAGACATGCTCGGTCTGAATGGGATTGGTTCTGAAAGTGGGGGGAACCATATTTGGTTTAGTTTTGTAAGGTGGCCACTTGGATGTTAGCACACACCTTTGCAATATATTACAGGGTTTTGCAGACATAGCTTCAGGCCTTACTGGAAGAGTCCCATTCAGATTTTGTTTGTTATTGTTAAAGCTTTTGATTTTCAGGTATCAGAGAACGTTTTCTGTCTACATTTTTGTAGACTCACCCGAAACCATGAGCTTTTATGGGAGGGAAGGGTAGTATGATGCCAATAAAAGGTTGTGTGTGTTTGTCTCCATCTTCTGGTTGGGAGGAAATATAGCCCAAGCATTTGGACTGGTTTAGAAGATGTCAAAGAAAGGAAAACTTATGCCACCATGGAGGTGTCTTAAATGCTTGATTGTGCCTGCAAATCAGGTACATGGACCTCTATATAGTGGAATACACCCCCAATTTCAGGCATAATATGCTGGTATAAATACACCAAATAAAAAGGGGGAGCTAGACTGGACCTTTTTAAAAAAAAAAAACAAAACAAACGAAGCCCATTATCCACGGTTTGATTTCATGGGAATGAAACGTCATGGAAAATGTAACTCACTCAAATGTAGATCAGAGATAAAACTTCTGGCTGTCTAACAGGGTACCATGTACTCCTTTTGGTTTCCTTATTATCATCTCTCTCTCTGCTCCACACGCCCAGCTTGCCACCAGCCAAGAAGAGCTCTTTAGCTAGGCTGTTCCAAAATACCATGCTGCAGAAGCAGAATGCTAGCAGTTTCTCACTGGGAGAGTGATGGAAATGTAGGGCAAGCAGTGCAGACCTGCCTACTTCTCTCCGAACCTGGTTAATGTAAAGTACTGAGGAAGAAATGGGCCGTTTTGTAAATCAGCCTTTTCTTTGAGCGGGAGGCTGAGGTATGAGCATGCTGAAGACCAGGTGCCGAGCATCTGAAACTCTCCAGCTGATTGCACCATACCCACAGATATTCTAAAGCTTGCTGCTGTCCATCTTCAAGTGACATCAGGAAAAATTGAAGGGAACATACCTTTACTGGTCGTAGCAGAAACCCTTCTGGGTAATATCCAAGGGAACTGTTTTTTTCCCTAGCCAGGTTTAGGATTACTTTCTAGCAGTGGGTTTTTGTGTGTGTGTCAAGGGGAGGGTTAAGCCAAATTCTTTAATCACAGGTGAGGACATAATTTTGATCAGTTGCCAGTTCTTCATAACTAACACTACAGCTTCTTTAGAAACTAAAGTATGTTGTCCTATGCCTTTTTGAAATTCATTAATCTCTGCTGAATTTCTTCCAACGCCTTTCTGCTCACACATTCAAAAGGCAGACTGCTCATTTGCCAAGTAAATGACACTTGCGGTGCTTAAGAATATATGTCTGTTTTGACTTAGGTTTTGGCTTGTGCAGTGACTCTCATGTGTGCCCTAGACACATTTTTAAGTGGGCTGGTTAGAGGCAGGGCTAAACGAGGAATCTGGAGGTTTGAAGAGAGTTGAGAGATTGTTTTCATCACCTATATTACAAAGGGCTTCAGTATTTGGCCAGAGCAAAATGGGTGAGATTTTCAAAGGTGCCTAAGTGACTTAGGATCACAAGTTCCAGTGACTTCCATGGAGTCTTGAACTCCTGAGTCACCCACCCTGTGGGGCAACTTTCCTTCTCAGCTTGGGTCGATGCCAAACCTTTAGGGGGAGGAAATGTACACTACTTGTGCACCCCCACCCCAATGCTGGGCCTTATTTAGTCACCAGGGCAACTTAGAGCAGCCCAGAGGCTACTCTGATGTGTACCCAACTGCCAGCAGTCCCAAAGGGCCACTCCAGCAACTGAGAGTAACCCGAGCCCAGGGGAAATCTGACTACAACCAGCCATGCACTCTGCTCCCTGGGCTAGTTAGTAAGTGATGGCTTTGCCTGTGCTATACCAGAGTATTCCCCTCACCAGGACAGTCCTTGATTGGCCCGTTGTCACAGCCCCTTTGCAGTAGCAGTGCTGTGGTCCTGGGGGCAATGCTGTAGCATTCCCCTATAAGGGTAGGGCTATTCATTGCCTGAGGAGTTGGTGATTGCTAGCAGCATTCCCTACTTTTCCTCCGGTTGGCTGGTCCAAGGAGCCTCCTCGTCTCTCTTGCACTGCCTGCGTGTTAGCTTTTCTTAGTACCAGCTACAAAATGGCACGGGAGCAGTATTATAAAAAAGCCAGACAGAGCACATGCAATGGGAAAAGGATGGATGAAAGCCCTCCAGTGTTAGTCACTGCAGTTAGTCATCTCCAGTATGCTTTGCAGTCTGAGATAAAAGGGCAGAGGGACTGGAGGAGGGCTGGTGACCTTTACTTTGCACAAAGGGGGAATATGAAAATGTGCATTGCTACATCGTGCAGTTGCTTTGGCCTGCACTTTCGACTGGCGTTGAGACACCCACACCTAGCTGTCTGGGGCTCCCCTTGCAGAAGTGCGTGAAGATGCAACAGCCAGGGCCAGGCAAAGAATCTGCATCGATTTTAGAATCCTCCTTTCTGAAGGTGCCAGCATCTTGCAGCCTCAAAGTGAGGAGGGAAGGGTGATTGTCTCCACTCTTATCCCTTTGAGTCTAGCTGCGAGGCGAGATTGGGCCCAACCGGGGTTGATGCTGATGGCTGTGTGTCATAGAATCATAACCAGAGATTGACTTATACACTTAGTGCCACCTGATCTGCCCCTTACTGTTATGCTCCGGGAGATCATCCCCTCTCCCCTTGGTGATATTTGCAAACTGCTCGCCTGATTTTCTCCTAACTAACCTGTTCTGCCTCCCTACAGTAACTGTTTTATAGGAGCTGCAGGGGAGGCATAGATGTGCTTGGAGACAACAGGGATATTGCGGAGTGGCTCAGGCAATGCCAGCCAGAGTGATTGGATTTCTGTTTGGTTTTCTCTTTAGAATATTGTCCTATAACAACCTAACCAGACTGGATGAGGGGAGCTTGGCAGACTTGGGAGGGCTGCATCTGCTGCGACTCAGCCACAATTCCATCAACCATATCGCAGAGGGAGCTTTCAAAGGACTCAAAAACCTGCGTGTTCTGTAAGTTACCTGGCACACACACACACGCGCGCACGCACGTGTGCCCGAACTGCCAACCCTGCTCCCCTGACTAACGCAGGAAATAATTTTTTCTGTAAACCAAATCTCCCTCTGCACTTTTGTGTGGATTTTTATATAGCATTCTTCCTTGCTTTACAGTTGTACGTTCTCCTAAGTGTTCCTGTGCGCTGTTAAGCAGCTGTTGTGTTTCACCCCAGAAGTGGCTGTATTTCAACGTTGAGGAGGGAAGGGATCCCTTTATCGTTAGTTCCTGGACTAGTGAATGTTGTGTCAGATCCTAGCCTGAAAGGAGCTTTAAAAGTGCAGAGTAAAATTATTAGTATTCAGAATTAGTTGACAGCTCTGCACTTGGATAAGATGAATTTCTTTGCTGGTCAGGGGGGCAAAATTTTTCATGAGTGGGCTATTTTAGATTCATTGTTTTTGTGGTTCCCCTTTCAGATTTAGGCCTGGCAGAGCAGAATGTGCTGAGCTAAACGCATTGTTGAAAGCCCTGATCTCTGAACCCTTCTTCAGCTCTAACGGCAGCATTTTCCATACTGTCTTTTTGAGTTCGATGGGGCTGTGCATCTGGTTCAGCGTTAGTTGAAGCACCTCATAAAAGGACTGAATCTTAAGACACCAGTTTAGGTTCCACTGTAAATCCAATTACACGTGAAGAAGAATCTTTCCATCGCCCAAGCATTTTTACATGCTTTCCTTTCCCCCTTTTATTAACCAATACATGTAATATAAAATCTATCCTAAAATAACACTGAAAGCCTGACTGACTGGCAAAGCCAATGAGGTTCAGTCTGGGCTAGAGAGATGACGGCTTGCTGACATGGAGAAGAACCGTACACAAAGCTGCACTGAGCCTTGGGCCCAGACAATAAGACTGACAGGACAATGGATACTGCAAGTGACATGCTTACTAGTCTGCATGAGATGGAGAAGAATTTGAGGATGGCAGCCTGCATTTCTTATGAGTCCCAATCCCATTAAAGTCACTGGGAATCTTCCCTGTGACTTCCGTGGGAGCAGACTTGGGCCCGATGTTGTGGGGACAAGGGGGCCCCTTTTTGGTTATGAAACTTTGGGTCGATTTGACTCCCTATCTGTAACGCAAGCGGAAAAAAAAAATCAACTGCCATGTTATAAAGAGAGAGCTTCAAAGTGCCCTGGCAGACCATGGGAAATGATCCTTCCAGTCATTGTTCTGTCCTGTTTAGCTGATGACATATGTTTCAGGGAGTATTCCTGCAAGTTGACCAGACAAGGGAAGAACAAAGTCTCTATGGCATCGAACAATGTGGCATTGGAAAAGAGCAGTCTGGCCCTGATCCTCAGGCTGGTGTAAATGGATTCAACATCCTAGTTTCCTGGATTTTAAGGCCAGTCAGGACCATTAGATCCTCTAGTCTGACCAGCAGGAGAGTGAGTTTGTGTGTGGGGGGGCGGAGGGTGAGAAAACTTGGGTTTGTGCTGGAAATGGTCCAACTTGATGATCACTTTAGATAAGCTATTACCAGCAGGACAGTGGGGTGGGAGGAGGTATTGTTTCACGGTCTCTGTGTGTATATAATGTCTTCTGCAGTTTCATGGTATGCATCCGATGAAGTGAACTGTAGCTCACGAAAGCTCATGCTCAAATAAATTGGTTAGTCTCTAAGGTGCCACAAGTACTCCTTTTCTTTTAGTCTGACCTCCCGCATGATAAGAGCCATAGAATGTCACCGCTGTCCAGTAACTTGTCGGACTAAAGCGTATCTACCAGAAAGGCAGCTAGTCTTGAGAGGAAGAACCCACCACGTCCCTGGACAGCTTGTTCCAGTGTCCTCAGGGCAGCTCCTTCCGTTTGCACCGGCCGAGGATCTGGCCCACACGGTTCTTTCATCTGAGCTGCGATGAAATCCCTCAGACAAGTTTAACAGCTCAGCCTTCAAGGCCAGTTGTGCTCACTGGATTTTTATTCTGGTTTTGAAAAAGAAATACAGCGTGGTACTTTTTTATTCCCCTTCACTGAGCCCCATTGTGCTTCGATTAATGAAAAGGACATCAGAACAGAGAAGCTTTCCCTTCCCCGCTTACTGTACTGGACACATTTATTCCTTCATTGAGTTTCACACAGGCGGAAGTGACTGAAAAGTGATTCTTTTTTATTCTTTTTCTTTTTTAAGCCTAAGCCTTTCAACCACTGGCATTCAGAGAGGGCCTTCTCCCAGGCAGCTGTCAGTGCAGGGACTAAAGGCTTCCAAAGAAAAAGCAGGGGAGCGGGAATGGGTAGATCTGTGCCCTTTGCAGCAAATGCAGAGCCTCTTTTGTGTCCAGTGCAAGGGGGGAGAGAGTGAGCTCTAATTGAATAAAGAGGAAGGCTGTTGGGTCCTGCACCTGGTGAAAAAGACCCGAGCATGCTTTAATTATGGCCTATTGTTGACGAGCCTTTGGTGGGTGTGAAACTGCTGAAATGTGGAGCTATTCAAACAGAGGTCAGGCCTGGGGACCTCACAGCATAATGATTAACAAGGCAGCAAGCATTCAGGCTCAGCCAGCCAGAAACAATAGGAAATTGGCAACAGGGGCTGGGAGAGAAGAGGAGTTGAATACAAAGAGAGCTAGGCCAGAATACCCTGCTCTCTATTTTTCTGTCCATTTGAAAAAAAACACCACATTCACCCCCCACCCCCCTTAACACTAAGCCTTTCAGCTTCCTTTAGGAGAACAAGCCCAGTGACAAGCCAAGCTATTTTCTTTTCGCTTTTTAAGAAAACACCCGGTGACACTCACTCAATAAAAGTATGTGCCAGGGATCTCAAACATTCTCAACACCTCCCCTCCTGTCTCCTCTCATACTGTGAAGAGGCCAGAAGGCTAGTGGTCCCAAGTACAGTGGCAGGGTTGGATGGGGTGGAATTGGCCTCAGGACAAATCTCCAGGAATAGAAGGTTTATTCATGTGTCCCAGAAAAGAGAACCTAAGTTGCAAGCAGGCGGGTTAGTTGATGTACAGTGTGAAACTGGCAGGAATTAAAACATGTGGCCCCTAAGACGTGAAACGTTTATAATCCAATTTATGGAACACTGTCCTCCCAACATCCTGAAATGCATCATGGCAAGTCTTCCAGACCCTGCCTCTCTTCTCACTTGTCTCTCCCCAACTGCCACCACAGTATTGTTTGTGCCCACACCCTACTGCACTGTTATTCTGCCATCCACTTGGCATGGTTCTAGCCACACATCTTGCTGACAGCCACCATGACGCTGCCTGGGTCGGTGTCGCACTGAGATATGGGACACGTGTCTGGTAATGGCGTCAGCTGAGAAATGGGCATTGTGTCCGTGGGCCATTTCTTTTCACAACTTCAGTTCATGTTGAAAAGCCCAAGAAATCATTGCTAGCAACAGAGACTGCTGTTAATTTGGGTACCTGTGGCAAAAAATCAGTCCTGGCCTGGCTGAGGAAGTCTTGGTACGGAGCTATGTGCACTTCATGGGATTCTTCTGTTCTCATATCATGTGTTAATGTGTAACACACCAAAAAAAAAAAAAAAACCACAAAAACAAAAAAAACATTGAAACTCTTGCTGTTCTAATAGTCTTTTAAGGTTCAAAGAAAATAATGAATTTGTGGGGGACGGGGGTTGTTTTCTGTTTTTCTTTTTTTGCTTTTCCTGTGATGTTAAAAGGCCTAAAAGTATTTTTATTTTTATTTTATTTTTAAAAAGAACATTAGAAATTCTAAAGTTCTGTCTGCTGAAAGGCACTCTCCTACCTGGAGAATCAAGGGAGAGAGGGGAAAGGAATTTTAGTTAGACTCTTTAAAAATCTTTGATGGTTTTTGGTTTGCTTGTTGTCACTAAGATCCATGTAACTCCAGTAACTAATGAGCATTTTGAAAATTAAACTGGAAAAAGGCCCTCTTTATTCAGGAATAAGAATGACTGTATGGGGAGTTACAACAGTATAATTATGCCAGTATAGTTATGCTGCTAAATTTCTCTGTATAGACAAGACCTTAGACTGTGCAACTCATTGCCACAGGAAGTCGTTGAGGCCAAAAATTTAACAAGATTCAAAAAGGGACTGAACATTTACGTGGATGACAAGAATATCCGGCGTTACCACAGTAATTATAATTCTGGAAGGGATATTAAGGGATAATATAAATTCTGGAAGGACTTAAGCCAGTATATCTGACTATTAGACATCAGGATGAGATGAGACCTAATGTGGAGCACAGATTATCCCACATCTGTGTACTGTGCGATTCTTACACCTTCCTCCAAGGCATTTGGTGCTAGCCACTGTTTAAAATAATACTCAACTAAATGGACCTTGATCTGACAATTCTTATGACAATTCTTGTTTTGAAAGGCAGAACAAGCTTCTCTTTGTTTGAGGGGAACTTTCCCCCTCCAGGACTTCTTCATACAGCATAAAGAATTAGAAAAGGGCATAAACCCAGATTTTAAAAATCCACTGCAGGTCACGTTTAATGTGGCGAACGGGATCAGATTGGAAAGCATCAGTTACTTTCCTTAGTGCAAGAAAAGTCATGCAAAAGTAGTTGGCTCTGCTCAAACAAAGTCTGCTCAGCTGCAGTGCTAGGCTTACTGATAACACTGATGTATGGCAAGGACAAAATGGGAAGCTCTTGGTAAGCTGTTCCCAAACTTTTTCCTTTAGTTCTTTAATGGCGAGCCCAGGACTGAGAAATTGATTGTGAGTTTTCTTTTGTCTTCTCCCCAGGGACCTGGACCATAACGAGATTTCAGGCACAATAGAAGATACCAATGGGGCTTTTACAGGCCTTGAAAACCTAAGCAAGCTGTGAGTAGCCAAGCTTTAGAAGTTTTGTTGAGCTCCTTACATGAAGGGGGTACGGGTGAGTGGGGAGAGTTTCTTATGTGGACTTTGGGAACGGGAAAAGCTGAAGAAAGTGTGAGACATGACAGCCCCCAGACTCACTAAATGGTAGTAAACGCCATTCCTAGGAGCACATGTTTTCGTTTCATAGAGCCCCATGCCGTTAGAGCAGTTTAATATTCACTCACTCAATGGTGGTAGAAACTAGCTTGTGGATTTGTTCTCGGTCAGATTTCGCACACTTCAGTTGCACTTCGTCCACAGAACTCAAGGGAAAAAGCTTCCTTTCACAAAATCACTGAGTGATGCTCAACCTCTAATGAAAACGCGATAATAAACCAGAGAAAATCTCAGGGTTATGCTTAATATATCTTACACTTCACAGTTCAAGTGAATTGGACAAACATCTGTCTCTTAAGGGTTTTTTTTTTTTTTTCAGGATATGACCCACTATGACAGTTTCATTAGTGATGCAGTCTTTGTGCAGTTTTATGATCTTGTGATTTTATGATTACTTTTTAGAGCTCATATGAGTGGTACTGATGCGCATCTGTATTGGGCCAGAACTGTCAAAGGGATAAAAAGAAAACTGATTCTGTTTGAGAGGAATGTGCAAGAAAATATATATTGCAGATATTTGTAGATGGCTTCAGCTTTGCAGATATTCAGCCCACTGTTGATTTCTGAATTGCTAAGTGTCCGAGCTGCTCGTTAGATTGTTCGTTTTCCCTTTTGGAGGGATTGCATGGAGAAGGATATTTGAAATCAGCTATCTATAATCGATCCTGTCGGGCAAGTTTCTGACCAATTCTGACTAATTGGGAGTCTCTTTTAATTATTATTTCTTGCCTCTGTTTGAGTTTTCACCTCCTTCATCACTGTCTCTGATGCTGATATGCCAGGGGTGCACGGTATGATGGCAGGTGGCTGGTATGAATCTCAGCAGGCGGTGCATTGTCACTCTGTCATTAGAGCTATTTGGGAGAGTGGCTTCAGTGAAGTGGTCGGGACCTAAGATGGGGTTGGAGAAGAGGGACTTGCCATCGTGGGTATAGAAGGACATAGATCAATTTAAAGGAGAAGGGGAGGCGGGGTAGTTGGAGATGCAGGTGGGGGAGGATGGGGAAAGACCAGAGTGTAGAATGAACCAGATGGTGAGGGCGGGGTGGAGAACAGGAGTGAGGGAGATTAGGAGGCGGGGAATATTGGTTAGAGATGGAGAAGGGCAGACAGAAAATTCAGTCACTGGAGAAAGCATGGAGGAGGTGCCACTGGTGGGTGCGGGAACTTCTTGGCTGGTCTTGTTGATAGTTTCCTTTTATCTGAAGAAGCTGGTGAGGTCCTATGTGTGGTAGGAAGCACGTGGGGACAGTGGGAAAGTTCAAGGAGGGAGTCAAAGGGTAGATTTTAGCAGATGGGATTGTGGACAAGGGAGTAGATGAGAGTGGGAAGGCTGCACGCTTGGCAGGGAAGACGGTAGAATGGTAGGAACAGAGAATAGCCCTGTAGTGGAGGAAGTCTTTATGGTCGGTGGGCTTCCTTCAGAGGCACCGGCACAGGAGCTGGGGTAAAGCAGCAGCTGCTGGGGATGTGGGTGTCAGGGGTTAGGGGATAAGAAAGGCTAAGGCCTGAAAAGGGGCCAAAGGAGTCAGAGCGGAAGAAGGGAGGGGAGTGGAGGGAGTCACAGCCGAGGGGCTATGGCAAAGAAGTCATGTGAATGTTGCTGGACTGGGGGTTACATATGGGTGAAGGGTTGGACAGATTATTGGGTCTCTGCTTGGATTATCCATTTTGCCTTAAAATGTAAGGTTGGAAACACGCTCGTAATGTTCAAATAATCTAGCTGCCTTTCTTGAGGCATTTTGGTCACATTCGGCCTTTCAACTCAAAAGGGCCTAATTTCGTTCATCATCACTCAAGCCAGGAGTTTGAATTTTGTCTCGGGGCTTCAATTAAGTGCCATTGCTACTTCCAAACTTTTTTTTTTTTTTTTTTTTTTTTAAATACCAGCCTGTGTGCTAAGTGTTGAACTGTCTGGTATAGGGCCCCCGTGTTTTAACCGTCATTAGCATACAAAAAAATAAATGGCACTTCAGAGGAAACCTTCCAATGAATTAATAATCACAGCTCTGTGGAGATTGCCTTAAAAGCTGCTCCCCTTTGATCTGGCATGGATTAGTCTCTGAAAGGATTTAGCCATGAGTGTTGTTCAGCATAATGAAGGTGTTAAACTGGGAGTGGGGGAGGCCAGTCATTGTAGCCTTTCCTGAATTATAGATGAAGCTCTCCAGAATGGAGAAGGCAGGCCTAAATTAAAACATTGCCTCAGAAAAGGGAGCTGAGAACCACTGAAGCATAGAAAGCATCAGTGGAGTCACTGGGGAGCCACCAGTTCCCTAATTATTCAAGCTGCTAGATTTAACCGTTTTTGATGGCTCACTCACTTAAAGACCTTCGTGCAGGTGCAAAGCTGGCAAAGGGGGAAAATGCTACTTTCTAATGAACTGCTTGTGCACAGTGTCGTTATACTACTTTAATTGCAGTGTGGAGGTACTGTTGCCAACTCGCTTGACAGTGGGAGAGCATTTCTTCACTTGCAGCAAGCTGGCTGATTTGCATGCCACAGTGCTTCCATTCCAAAATACCAGATCCCTTTGAAGATGGTCGCTGGTTTTATAATCATTTCATAATCAGAAAAATGGTTATCTAGGGTCTGTGAGGAAATAGGAATATGTATTTAAATGAGAGTTGGCAGGAGTGTACACCAGCTTCTTATTACAACTTTTCTATGTATTTCTCATGTACGTGGCTATACAGAATAGTTGCATACATGTGTATACCCAGTTAGATGCGCATACAATAGTTGCATATAAACAGCACGCGCACATATACACTATATATGTAAAGGTGGGTAAAAATCTCCACCTGAGATTTTTGAGGATCAAGATTCACTATAAATGGTGAGCAGGATTGACCTAAGGGGTAAACCTCATTCTGAACACTAACGTCTAAATACTGATGGACTGTTCCTAATCCAAGGAGCTCAGTAAAGATTACAAAATATTTTCACCAAATAGGAACATCTGAAAAGTGGCTTGCAAATGAGTGTGCCTTTTATCAGCCACTAGGGACAGCCTATGGCAGCTGTCTTTATTCTTCTAATAAAAATTAAAAAAAAGACAATCTAGGGAATGGCCTCAAACTCTCTGAAGATGCAACTATGGTTTTATGGTAAACTAATTTTGACCATAAAGGGTGTGTATGTGTTTGTGTGTTTCCTTGTGGAAGATGGGAATTAACTTTGCCAGAAATCTAAGTTTTGGTTCTGCTTTGTAGTTGTACGTGTTGTACAGAGAAAGACTAAGAACTGTAATTGGTTTCCCATTAAACATGTGACACAGAAATTTACCATGAAAACTGGATGACAGTAGCCAACTCTTGCTGGCGTGCCTGTAGTGGAAAAGAATTATGGGATATCTCACGCAAGAGGAGACAAGATTACTCATTGTTGGGGCCCTGGAAGGGGGATGGCTTGAGCTAGTGAACTGAGGAGGTGCGTGGTTTGGAGGGTAACATAGTTTTGGCTAGTTGTGTGTAGTTTTCCCTTTTTTAATCGCTGTAAACTATAATTAGCTGCATTTGCTCTGTAAGGATGATATTCACAGACTTTAAGGCCTGAAAGAACTATTGTGATCATCCAGTCTGACCTCCTGCATATCGCAGACCACAGAACCTCACCCACCCACTCCTGTGATAGACCCCTAGCCTCTGGCTGAGCTACTGAAGGCTTCAAATCATGATTTAAAGACTTCACGTTACAAAGATATTCCACCAAATTACTCTAGTTCAAACCAGCAAGTAATCCGTGCCCCATGCCGCAGCAAAAGCAACCCCTCCCTCCCCCCCTCCAGGGTCTCTGCCAGTCTGATCCAGGGAGAAATTCCTTCCTGACCCCAAATATGCTTATCAGTTAGACCCTGAGCATGTTGGCAAGACCCAGTAGCCGGACACCAGGGAAAGAATTCACTGTAGTAACTCAGAGCCCTCCCCATCGAGTGTCCCATCACTGGTCATTGAAGATAGCAGTCATATTGGCTACATGCCATTGAAGGCAATCTTATCATACCATCCCCTCCATAAACTTCTCAAACTCAGTTTTGAAACCAGTTAGATTTTTTGTGCCTTGGAAGGCTGTTCCAGAACTTCATTCCTCTGATGGTTAGAAATTTCATCTGATTTCAAGCTCAAACTAGTTGATGGACAGTTGATACCCATTTGTTCTTGTGCCAACGTTGGCCCTTAACTTAAATAACTCCTCTCCCTCCCTGGTATTTATCACTCTGAAGTATAGAGAGCAATCATATCTCCTATCAGCTCTCATCTGGTATGACTGATGTGGTTAGGTCCTATGATGGTGTCCCTTGAATAGATATGTGGACAGAGTTAGCAACAGGGTTTGTTGCAGGGATTGGTTCCTGGGTTAGTGTTTTTGTTGTGTTGTGTGTAGTTGCTGGTGAGTATTTGCTTCAGGTTGGGGGGCTGTCTGTAAGCGAGGACTGGCCTGTCTCCCAAGGTCTATGAGAGTGAGGGATCGTTTTCCAGGATAGGTTGTAGATCGTTGATGATGTGCTTGAGAGGTTTTAGCTGGGGGCAGTACATGATGGCCAGTGGTGGTCTGTTATTTTCCTTGTGGGGCCTGTCCTGTAGTAGGTGATTTCTGGATACCCGTCTGGCTCTGTCAGTCTGTTTCCTCACTTCCCCAGGTGGGTATTGTAGTTGTCAGAACGCTTGATAGAGATCCTGTAGGTGTTTGTCTCTGTCTGAGGGATTGGAGCAAATGCGGTTGTATCGCAGAGCTTGGCTGTAGACAATGGATCGTGTGATGTGGTCTGGATGAAAGCTGGAGGCATGTAGGAAAGTATAGCGGTCAGTAGGTTTCCGGTATAGGGTGGTGTTTATGTGACCATTGCTTATTTGCACTGTAGTGTCCAGGAAGCGGATCTCTTGTGTGGACTGGACCAGGCTGAGGTTGATGGTGGGGTGGAAATTGTTGATATCCTACTGATAATTGCCAATTGTGAATATTTATAGAAAATTGGTACTTTGTAAATATCAGATTGTGCTGTGAGCATCATAATTGGCAGTGTTCTGCAAAGAACACAAATCCTGTCCTGCTTATTAGCACCGAATGTTGATCTACAGGAAGGCTGATCGTCCCTGGAAGTTTGAAAACATACTCATTGTCCCTTTGGACAGGGCTCACCAAGTGATGTTCTGTTCAGGACCCTGTTGTGTTAGGCACTTTACAAACACACATAAAGAGACCTGACCCCTTTAAAGATCTTGCAGTTCCTGTATGTGTGCTGAAGTTCAGCTTGTCCTATAGGACAAACAGCAGTGAATAAATTATTTCTCTTCTACTAAAGGTCAGAAGTGGAAGGTGTTGCAGCAATAGTCCAGTACCTTGTTAATCTGGCATTGCACTTAATTCTGTCCACAACCAGCCCATCGCAGAATACAAGGGACCTTCTGTTACTCAACAAGCCAATTTCCAAGTACCATCGCAGACCTGCCTCTTGATGTGATAGGGCGCATTCCGTTTCATACTGTCATCACTATTAAATTGTAATACAGATAAAAGTATTTAATTTCAGGAGGGGAAGAAGTGCACGCTTCAGCCCCTTAATCTCTGTGCAGTTCAGATTTCCACTGCCTTATACTGGACACTTTATCAGATACAGTCACGCTAATTGTGTTTTTTCTTTTGCCTTTTCTTTCTGTTTATCTGGCACTGGATGTTTGGAAACTGCAGAACTCTGTTTGGAAACAAGATCAAGTCAGTGGCCAAGAAAGCGTTCTCAGGCCTGGAGGCCCTGGAGCACCTGTGAGTAACCCACCATCCTTTGCCGTTTGGAACGAGGCCTGCCAAAAATGGCTGAGGAGGTCTGCTAGCAATTTAATAGCGTCTTTGTAAACTGAGAAGCCAGTCCATTTGTGGGGGCCAGCTGCTTCCTTCTCATTATAAGTCAGCTTCAACTTTGGCCTTTCTTTGTGCCAGGAACAAAGTTACAGAACATATGGCAAATTTGCATGCCCTTAATTTTTTGATTTGTATTGGGATAAATATCTCCTTGACTCATAACACGGTTACCCTGCAGGCTGTTTGCAGCGAAGCCATGTTTCAGACCTGGCCATCGCTCCCCCACTCAGCATTCCTCCAAAGTCCGTGACGAGACATGTTGAAAATGACGAGCTTCTGATACAGAAACAAAACCTCTCATTCAGTGTAACCACTTTTCAAGCTGTTTGCAGGAAACCAGTTTGGCTATAGCTAAGCAGTTCTTCTCGTCTCCTCCCAGGGCCGATGCCTCTAGCAGTGATTCATCCTTAGTTTCCGCTTACGAATTTAGCCAGGTTTAAATATTTTGTTGCTCTGTGTGATTTATTGGATGTTGATCACGTTGACTCTTAGGCCCCTGGCACCAAAACAAACGGTGAGGCGCAAGTGTGTTTTGGAGGGGTCAGTAATGACTCTCTGGTTGCAGTTGTACTGAGATTTGCACTTTAAAGCAGCACTAAACTCCTATTGTTTCACACTTTAGTGACTGAGTTTAGAGTCCAAATTTTGGCATAATCCTCCTTCAAAGGACAAGTGTTTTTTTTAGTAAAGTACTGATGAACTTCTGCAGAGGGAAGCATTTAAAAATACTCCTTTTTGGAAATTTTTACCCCCTTTTGCTCAAACTAGCTTTAGAAAACCTAAACAACCACGTTCCCCCCAAACACGTGTTCTAATATCTTCTCAGATATACGTCCCTTTGGAACATTTATAATTAAACACATAGACAGATGTAGTCCTCTTATTCAGGAGAACTGTTTTCAAGGCTATGGAGTAACAGATTTCTACCTGCTGAGGATTTGGTCCATGAGCAATAAACCTGCTTGGAAGTCAAGGCTGCCTGCTGGGTGCTCAAGAAGAGGGTGGAGATGTGTGAGCAGTGACTGGTGGAGGTAGTCTAGGCTGAGATGATAAAGTGGAGATGAGGCGTTGAATGAGTTGCTCGTTTCTTTGCTTCTTGTGGCTTGCATTGGCGAACTGTGCAGTCTAGCAGCCTTAGCTCAGAGTTAACAAGTGTTTTATCTAGCGTAGATCCACAATAATACAAATACAAACCATTGTGCACTGCCTGAATATGGAGCTTGCATACCATAAAAGGTGTGTTCCATTACTTACTTAGCTTGGAGAAAAGATGTTGGTCTCTTGATGTTACTGGAGCATTAATTTTTTTCAAAAGTGCCTCTGATTTTGTTCTGCAGGAACCTCAGGGACAATGCAATCAGGTCTGTCCAACCAGAGGCTTTTGCGAAGATGAAGAACCTGAAGCAGATGTAAGTATTTGGACTGTACATACCATTAAGTCTGCACTGATCTTTCTCCTCCTGTTTGTGAGTAGTACCATACTGGTCACATGTATAACATGCCATTGGAAACAATTCCCCCTTCTCTCTCAACCTTCCCTACAGGTTATTTTTACACTTGAGCAGATGTCCAGACACATCTCACACTTAGTAGAGAGTGAAATTAGATCAGGGTAACCGTGGGTAGCATGTGTGCAATTATCCATCTCCGCTCAGAAAATCCAGTTCTGTTAAGCAAATCTCTTGTTCTTACACAGTGCTCTGTGAGCTATTTAATTCCTGGTGGCCAGGAATGTAATTTCCGGTATACCTATGTTTAGGGTCTGCACACAGTGCTGACATTTCAGTGGATTTGAGATGTACATCATCTAGTGTCAGCTGTAAAAATGTGGCTGTGTTATCAGAACTGCTAGTTTTTCTCAGTGCCAGGGCTCTCTCTTGTTATATACACATACACACAGATGCATATCGTCATCTCACAGCGTTCTAAAGGTTAAGCTGTAATATTTGATGATCTCAGATCCTGCGATCCAGTCGCTGTATAGTTAATGTGTGGTTCACAACCTCTGCTTGACCTTTGGTGCTACTCCTTACAGTCAAACCTGTATCGCTTCTTTGCTGATAGTGAAGTTTCACAGAAATGCCTTGGCCTAAAAATCGCTGTTTTACGATATGCTGTAGAGATGGAACTTTAACGGTCACTTGTCTACGTGGTGCTTTGTAAGAGGTTCCTAAACCAACACAAAGGCCAAATTCTCTGCCGATGTACATTTTGAGAGCACCATTAGCCTTAGGGCTGTGATAAGTTAAACCAGCAGAGAATTTGGCCTGGAGTGTTTTAAAAATTATGTAGAGAACATCTCGCACCTTACAGCACGTAAAACCCAGGCCTGGCATTACTAAAGAGTTGTGCAGCATTTGAAGTTATTGTGTCTTGTGAGCTTATGCCCCATCTTTGATGGCCGTCCGCTAGTTACACAGGTGAAGTATCTTCTGAATTCTAAGATTTCTTCTTAACAGCAGCCACTAAGTTCCCAGTAGGATGCTGAGAATTTTTTGTTATTTGAATTACTCACTGTTTTTGTTGGCCGTATACAAAACCAGTGATTTGTTTGCCCTCCCCTCCCCCTGTGTATCAGTAGTTAACCAACAAACAGAATTCACTGAGCTGAGCGCATGCCTTCTGACCCCCTGGTGCACAAACAAATAAGTGCACAAACAGAAGGAGGAAGAGAGACCTGTTGGCTTGGGCTGCATCGGAAATGCACTAAAGATTAGCATTGGCTAAGTAGGTTATTAACCGCTGTAAGTAGAGAGCTTCACAGAACGCTTTCGACATTCAGCGATTGAACCTTGCAGACAATCCCGATAAAGACTTTCGAGACAATGGTGGGCAGAGAAGGCGCATGTGTAGTAATTATACAAGAGGAGTTCAGGATTCCTGGGTTCCGTGCCTGACTCTGCCCCTGATACATGCCTCCTTGGTAGATTACTCAGGTCCAGATCCTCAAGGGTATTTTGGCTCCTCGCTTCCATTGAGATCTCTCTGCCTCGGTTTACCTAAATGTAAATCACCACTTGCCAGCCTCTCAGGGTTGTTGCAAGGGTTAATTAATGTTCATAAAGCGTTAGGAGATTTTTTGGGGGCGGGAGGGAGAGGAAAGGTGCTATACAAGTGTGATGTATTTAGCACAACAGCCATCCTCTCCCTTTTTGCTCGTGCTGAGGGAAAGGGAGGCCTGCCAAGTGATTTTAAAGGGCTCTGAGCTTTGCAGTGTTTCTCTCGCAAGGGTCACAAGTGGGCGCTTTCGTTTCTGTTTCCCTCCAGCCACATAAACAGTGACAGCTTCCTGTGCGATTGCCAGCTGAAATGGTTGCCGCACTGGTTAGCTGAGAAGGAGCAGCAGCCCTTTGTGGTAGCCACCTGCGCCCATCCCGAGTCGCTCAAGAGCAAGAGCATTTTTGCCGTGCCCACAGAAAGTTTTGTGTGTGGTAAGTGGGGTCTGGGTGTGAGGCTGTGTGAACAGCAGGTCTTGTTTTGGCCAAAATTTCCTTTTACTGCTAGACTGTGTGATTATGCCAGGGTTGGTGGGGGTTTTGTGTCATCAAAGCCAACCCAAGCCTACATTTTAAAAATTAGTCACTGGCTACAATTTATTTCCCACCAAAACCACACATCACATTGGTTGCATCTAGTGTATCCCTTTACAAGGCACTCTGAGTATTAAATCAAAGGGGACTAACAGTTGGTTCAGTTATAAATCCAGCTGCTCTGTTATAGGAAGACAGCTCCGGTCCTAGAGAGCTAATATGGGCAGGATTTCAGCTGTGAATTTGCACACAGAGTGATAGCACTGTGAGCTTCAGTTGTTGGGTTTGGGATTTCCCCGCTCCCCCCCCATTGCCACCCCCTCAATCGTAAGAACAAAAGGTTTTTAAAAAATTGTGGAGGGGTGGGGGGTCTTTAAATATAAGCTCTTTTTATGGCTGTTTTATCCATTAAATCTGAAACAGCCAATTGCTAAAATTTGCATTTGTGTGTTTGTGATTAATTTTTATTTGCTTGGATCAGAACTACTGCTTTCCTTTCATCCAACTGCTCGCTGCTGTTATGGCCAAGTATGGCTGAAAACCAGCCTGGCAAATGCAGAACAGCTGAACACACACACACAACCTAGCTTTTAATCGGGAACAATTAAAAGTGATCAACCGAAACCTGTGGTAGGAGACTGGGCCAAAGTCACGATTGCTCATGCTTTCCTCCTTTGAAACTAAATGGGGCCTAGGTTTTGGAACCTCTCTGTGCGGTTTGTCCTGTTAACCATGTGGATTTTAGTCTTACTTTTTTACAGTGATAGTTTATGAAGAGCAGAGTAGCTTTTGAAAGTTCCCTTTCCTCAGTTGAAAGCATAACTTGTATGTCTCACTGATGAAAGTTCACCCCACGTTCCAGCCACACCTGAGATGAGCACAAATATACACATACGCTTAACGTACAGGGCATCAGAGCTGAGATGGCCTGCCTCCAAATGGGCTTGGTGGGGTTGTTATTTCAGTCCTAAAGAAAAGGAGACTCGTTTTCAAATGCTCTGTCCCCACGGCAAGTCATCACAAAGTTGCAAAATCAACCTTTCTAATGTAAGGACAGCTTTGCATCTCCGATGGCTGCCAAGCCATCAGCCACCGGTCTTTCCCAGTTCCAGAGGCATCGCTGTTTGTTTAAACATTACTCCAATATTCAGTTACGCTGTTTGTCGAAATCTAATAAACGAAACTGCTTGAAACTCTGCTAAAAGCAACAGTTGCCCTGAGCAGAGGGGTGCACATGCAGGCCTCCGCTTTAGAAGGGTGACAGGCAAATACAGCTGCTGTTCATAGACATCTTGTACCATCATGCTGCTGCTAGTGAGTGCTTGTCAGTTGTAACAGTGACTTTAATCCTTTTCACCCTCCGCTTCAGGTTAACGCAAGAGTTTGAGGGAGGGGTGGTTTAGAGGAGAAATTTTGGGGCTGCAACTTACTCTTGAAGTTGAACTTCAGATTTGCTCTTATTGTTTGAAGTGATGCTTTGTACATGAGTGGTGTAAGTATTCTGGTAGCACCTGGGCCCCAGTCAGTGGACCAGCGCCTCATTGCGCTAGGCACTGCATGCATACACTCTGAAAACATGGGGCCTGCCCCTACAAACTCTGTTGCATAGAGATAGTTCATCTTCCCATTAAGGGTACATAAAGGCAGATGTGCAAAAATGTCAGTTCCTCAAGCTAAATAGACTCATGGTTAATTAAATTTAGACTCGCTCTGCATCAGCTGCTAAAATAATTTTGTAGGTGAAAACGGCAAGAATTGTGACCGGGAACAGTGGTCATAGCGTCCGAGTTCGGGGCTGAACCGCTGTCATTGTTTTTCAGACGATTTCCCCAAACCCCAGATTATTATTCAGCCGGAGACGACCATGGCCGTTCTCGGCAAGGATATCCGCTTCACCTGCTCGGCCGCAAGCAGCAGCAGCTCCCCTATGACATTTGCCTGGAAGAAGGACAATGAGATCCTGCACAATGCCGAGATCGAGAACTTTGCCCATGCGCGGGCCAAGAACGGCGAGGTGATGGAGTACACCACCATCCTGCACCTGCGGCACGTCACCTTCGCCCACGAGGGGCGCTACCAGTGCATCATCACCAACCACTTTGGCTCCACCTACTCAAACAAGGCCCGGCTCACTGTTAACGGTGAGTGCCAGGCTGGGTTCAAATTCTTTTCTTGTCGGTAAAAAGGTCATCCAGCCATACGTATCCCACGGTGTGTTGGGAGGCCCCGTATTACAGGCACACACCTCTCTGGCCACGCACATGCCTAACTCGAAGCATGCAAGTCATCGCTAAACACAGGCGTCATCCCATTGGTTTCAGCCGTTCCCGCAGGGTCTCTGCCAGCAGGAATGAAAGTCTGAAAGGGCTAGAAAGACGGAACATATCGAATAACATTTCCCTTTAGAGGGAGGATGGTTTTTATTTGTTTCATACCCTGAAGACTGATCCCAGAAGCATTTGAAATTAGTTTAACGGGGGGGTTCTCAGGCATCAGGAAGGCTGGTTTAGTTTCCCTAAGGCTGTTTGTCACTCTACCCCCCCCGCCCCTTTTCCCTTCACAGTGTTGCCTTCATTTATCAAAACCCCCCATGACATCACCAGCCGGACAGGGACGACAGCACGGCTGGAATGTGCGGCCAATGGCTTCCCCATCCCACAAATTGCTTGGCAGAAGGACGGAGGCACTGACTTCCCAGCAGCCCGAGAGCGACGCATGCACGTCATGCCAGACGATGATGTCTTCTTCATCATGGATGTGAAGATAGAGGACATGGGCGTTTATAGCTGCACGGCACAGAACTCCGCGGGCTCCGTGCTGGCCAACGCCACCCTGACGGTACTAGGTAAGAAGCTTTGCTTCCTTGGGGATCCGGGCAGTGCAGGCAAAGGAACCATTTTGAGTTTCCAAAATGGGTTTTAGAAGGGAATGCTTGAGTTGTCAGAAGCCATAGACCTACTCATGGGACAATGGGGTTGGAGCGACGCCAGTAACTTATGGGAACTACGAAAGGACCCAGATACCTGAGAAAATGAGTCCAGTTTCTGTTGGAAGTCACCCTTCTTCTATAGGAGAAACCCGTTAGGCCATGCTATTTGCCTCCCCTGCCAAGGAGAAATATGCAGGAGGAAACTAAACTCTACCTCCTTGCTCTACAAGTTATTGGTATGTGACAGCTGTTATTCCTCCTCCAAAGTGGGAGATGATTAGCCTGGGGTATGGGTTTCTTGTGTAGGATATGGAAAGAAAACTAAACAGAACTGATAGTAAAGGCCCAGATTATGCCAGTTAGACATTGGTTTGCAGTGGGGTGTCCCTGGGGAAGCTGGCATACAAGACCCTGTATTGTTTAGCCAATTTCTAGAACTTTGCTAATTGTGTTTTCAGAAACGTCTGTTGGTTTGCTAACTCTAGATGATCTGAGTCATCTCAACCCCCCTAGAAACTTAATGTCTGTACTTAAACCCCTGTAGAGACGCCGTCCTTGATCCATCCACTGGAAGACCATGTAGTGTCTGTAGGTGAAACAGTGGCCCTTCAGTGCAAAGCAACGGGAAGCCCACCTCCACGCATCACCTGGCTGAAAGACGACCAGCCCCTGGTAGTGACTGACAGGCATCATTTCACCCCTGGCAACCAGCTGCTGATCGTTCGGAATGTTGTGCTGGAGGATGCTGGGAAATACACCTGTGAAATGTCCAATACCCTCGGAACGGAGCGTGCGCACAGCCACGTAAGCATCTTGCAATCCCTTGGCTGCAGGAAGGACAGGATGACAGTGGGGATAATCACCATTGCAGTGGTGTGCAGCATTGTGCTGACGTCTTTGGTCTGGGTGTGCATCATCTACCAGACCAGAAAGAAGAGTGAAGAATACAGCGTCACCAACACAGGTAAGCTCCAACCCTGGCTAAGGGCTCTTGGGCCAGCGGAAGCCTTTGCGTGCCAGAACATTCTGCTGCGGCTGAACAGCTGAACCAGCCAGCCATAACTCCTACTTAAAAGGCTTATCTCAGTGATTTGATTCCCCGTATCATCTGCCTCTGTTCAGGAAGCTGCACCCAGCTGCACTGGCTGTCACTTGCTGTTGCAGAATGTTCAGTGCTTTGATTTATGGCTTGCCTGGCTCATCAAATTCTCTCCCATCCAGGCGCAGACAGCCTCTCCTGATTCAGAGCCTGACAGGTTTTCTCTGGCCACTGTCGGAAGCAGTGTTGCAATCTGGGTTAACCAGGCCTCATTTGTGATACAGGAAACCCTTTTTCCTCCCTGGGTACTGACCCCTCCACCTGCCCACATAGAACTCTTGCAGTGAGATACTTCCAGCAGTAAAGTGCAATGTCTTCTAGAGGAAGTTTTCTGGTGCCTAGCTGCCTTCTAAAAATGCCACCCTGGTGCCAAACTCATGGCATTGGGTTGATCGCTTGAGGATGGGCTGTACTGAGGTCAGGAGGAATAGTCAGTGTAAGCACCCGTTTGGCCTGTTGGACCAGCTTCCTGGACTCTGGGGTGCTCAGCAGCACTGGTTCAGTCTGATCCCTTCCTGGGATTTGATGCCCTCCACTATATCCCTTTAATCTTCTCAGGAAACAGGTGCAGTACGTATGGGGCTTTCAAAGCCATGGCGGAAGGGAAGGTTTGGATGGAATGTAATGTGCATGCTCTAAATGCAGTCTTTTCTGCAGGACCCTCTGACACTGAATTTTTTTTTTTTTTAATCTCGAGACATTGCAGAGCTTCTCTCTTCCCCTTTGTGAATGGTGTCTGGTCAGTTCGTTACAGGGTCAGTTCTGGAAAAGGAGGGGTTCCGGGCCCCATAGAATTGAGTTTACATTTGGCATAGCTTGTGGTGGGGGAGGGTGACGGGACTGGCTAGGGATAGAAGTCTAAGAGCTGAACCTCGCCCAGTGACCCAGGATCTAGCCCTGGGGCTGCTGTCTGGGTGAAGGCTGTTCAAAAAACAAGGCCAGCTGCTGTGGTAAATAGTAAATGTCTTAAAACATGGAGATACTCCTCTTAAGTTCAGATAGCAGTAATTTTAATAGGACACTTACAATGGAGAGAAAGTAGCAGTTCCCCCCCCCCCCCCCCCCCAAAAAAAAAAACCCAAAAAAAAACCACATTTGCTTTGTGCTGGGGTGATGAGCCAGCATAACGTGAAGGCAATTGCATATTTATCAGAGTGGCTGAAGTAAAATCAGGCTGAAGCTGACTCCCCAAGCAGCAGCCCCCTGGCCAGTCGTTATCATTCTTCTTCAGTTTTGAAGTTTACTTTCGGCCTGGCGTTTTCATGAGGCGGGGCCTGGTACAAAGGGAGTTTGTTGCTACCGAGCCACTGACAACCCTTACTAAAAATTCAGAAAGCAACATTTATTATTCTGCACATTCCCCTCCGACTGACCGGAGGAATCCTGGCAGACACGGAGGCTGTAACTGCTTGCTCAGTTTGACCATAGAAAGCATGCAGGCCGCAGTCTTCTCTATTCACACGGTTATGAAAGCGGTTGGATCAGTCCCCTAAATAACTTAGGAATCCACCTTCTATTATCAGAAGACCAAGATTTTCACAAGGCCCTAGGGATTGGCGATGCCTAAATTTTGAGGCACTCAACTAGTGCCACCTTAAAGGGGGCCCTGAGGGGGCGGCTGCTCAGTGTGTTCTGAGGGACCAGGCTGCTTTAAGATGTCACCCAACAATGTAGACGTCCAAAGTCACTGGTCACGTCTGAAAAGGGTGGCCCGAGTCTCCATGAAAGTCAGTGGCACTTCTGCTCCTAAGTCATTTTTGACAGCGTAACTCCTTGTGTAGAAGTACGGGAGGTTCATATTTGTCTTTACCTCTTGTTGCAGACGAGACCATTGTACCACCTGATGTGCCAAGCTACCTGTCTTCCCAGGGGACTCTTTCTGACAGACAGGAAGTGGTCATCAGAGTTGAGAACAGCCAACAGCCTAACGGGCACATAGAGAACAATGGTAGGAATTGGATTCTAACATTTAAAAAGCTGTAGCCACTCTTGGCGTGACGAGGACTAACCAAAAAAAATTAGTGTCTTCTGCTCTTATTGTGAGCTGTTTGCAAGATCCATACACCTAGCTACTACACTGTATTGGGGACACAGGCAGGGAATCATAGAATATCAGGGTTGGAAGGGACCTCAGGAGGTCATCTAGTCCAACCCCCTGCTCAAAGCAGGACCGATCCCCAACTAAATCAGCCCAGCCAGGGCTTTGTCAAGCCTGACCTTAAAAAACTTCTAAGGAAGGAGATTCCACATGCCTCTCACTTTGCAGACATAGAAGAAACACCTTTCCCAGTAATATCACTCATCAAAACAGATTCCTTTAGTGACTACTTATTCATCAGGCCTGGAAGAATGGGTTTTGCCAATATTGGTCTAGTTCTATGGCTCTGGAATTACTGACAACTAAATTCTAATACAAAATCCACTGGCATGGCAAAACCCCGCCTTCAGGCTTACAAATTAAATGCCAACATCATACAATATTTTAAAAGACAACATGTTAGGGCGGAAAGGTTAAATTTCTGGATTAAGATGATCATTAGTCTATAAAGCATTAGTTCCTTGAAAAATTGACTCAGCATAAGGGATTACAATGGAAACAGTGTATAATTCTGTTTTTACAGTACGATAAATGACTGAATGTTTCGACTGGAAGAGCAGATGGTTGTAATCTTTAGCCAGCTGGTTCTTTTGTTATAGGTATGTGTCATACTGATGCTGGAAGAAGTCCAGATGTTGAAGCTCCCACTGTAGCTTGTAGACAGCCAAAGCTATGTGTAGGATATAATAAAGACGCCTGGAAAACCGAAGACGCAGCCGATGGAATGCTTGTTCCAGATAAGACAGGTACAAAACACATTAATCTGCAAAGACATTTCATGTTAGTACAGATCAGAAATCATTTGAGAGTCAGTGTTATTAAGACTGAGAAGAAATGTTACCTAAAAAAAGGCCAAGAGTGATTCTCAGATGCGGATACGGCAAGTTCATTTTTCTCTTGCTTATTTCTTCATCACAGTAGTTTGAGCTTAAAGCACAGCTAGAAAAGGGAAAACTTTTGACTCTGATCAGCATCACTGCAGCTTGAGTGGTTGTTTTTAAGCCATTCCTAATATTTAAGAGCTGTTTCAAACTGAAGGGGTTAGACATTTTCATCAGAGGCATCATAAAGGGACTGTCCACTTGAAAATAATCAGAAGTTCAAAAATCAAGTTAAAAGTAGTTTTGGGCACTACACCTGCTCCTTGGTCTCTTTGCCAGCGTGTGTGGTTTTCCAATCACAGTTTCCTGTTTTTTTAAAAAAGATTTGCTCTCTCATCGTGCTGTATATAAGAGCCCCTCAGACCACCTGGGAAACTGACTGATTCTCTAGGGGGAAATAGTGAAACCCAGCTAACTGACCGAGTGCAGATAAAATAAACTGGTGGGAAAAACAGACTTCCTCCTCTAAGCAAAATATTTTCAGATAGAAATGTGATTTAAATTGACAATGTCCCTTTAAAAACGATGACACTCAAAAGGCAACATACTCCTTTTCAGCAACAGCTACCGCAGAATTCCACCTTCTTTTTCTGCCCTGTCTGGTCAGTCACAAAGCAGGAAATGGTGGTGGAGGATAAATACGTAACACCTGTAAGGTGTCTTTCTACTTGCAATAGAAATAAATGTGTGGAGTGGGATAAAGGAGGCAGACCCAGTCGTTTCAACAACCGTTAGGGATACTGGGAAATCTAACGTTCTGCAAAAGGCAGGCGTTAACTAGATTTGTAGAATACCAAAGAAGAATATATTGTTCAGGTGACTCCCATGTGGCAGAGGGGTGGCCTGAGACGTCTTATCCATCTCCAACTTGCATGATGCTGTGATGACGGCTTCAAACTGGCTGTATTTAACTTCAGTTATTGCCTTTTCTCGCCCTCCACAAAGGGTACAGCCTGCCAGTTGTGTGCACTGACTGTAGCGGAAGTACAGATAGCATGAATGTCAACATTTACCCCAAGGATCCTGAATACTATTCTCAGCCAGCTAAGACTATGGATAACGCACCTCAAAATGCATTCAGCAGAAAAGAACCAAGTAGGAGCAAGAGCAGAGGCAGCAACCCTCTTCACCCTCCACAGTGCACTGGGATTGACAACAGTCAGAGAATGGACACCGCTAGTACTCTGTATCCCAGCAACCATGACAGAATGCCACCGTCGTCCTGCACGAATCAACCACTGCACGTGGACAGACAAGGTACACATTTTGCTTGGGTCTCTTTCCCTACACCGTTCAGATTAATGTCCTGTTTCCTCTCATTGCCATGCCTTGCTTTTATAAAGCTTTAGTAATCTTTAGTATTAAACGTCTCCTATTTAGTGGTTGGGTTTGAATTATTATTATTTATTATACGCATTGCGGTAATGGTGGCATTCTGAGCATTGTACTATCCTTACTTTCTAACAGGCTCTTCACAACCTTTGGCAAATGCTTCAGAGCACAGCAAGCTTAACTTAAAAGCTTCACCTTCAGAAGACTCCGTGAAGCAGCTAAAAGGGACTCCTGAAATTTCACCAACATCACTGGATATACAGGGTGAGGCTGAAGCTAAACAAACTCTTCTTTCCAATGGATACCTACCCAAATTACAGAACTCCACTCATGAGTTTAAGCCACCCATAAGATCAATGGACTGAGAGGGGAAAAACTGCCGTGTGCAAATGAACAAACCTACTATTGACCTTAATTTTTTGCACAGAATACTTAGGCTACTTACTTCTACCTCAACTCTTGAACTGACAGCCTCTCCAAGGAAAAGGAAAACAAATGAGGTATGAGAAACAAGCTTGTGTGGGGAACAAATTCCTACTCGAGCGTCACCAGTCTGTACATAGTTTAAAACTTCAATGAGAAGTATTACTAGTTCAAAAGTTAACTTGCATATGAAGCACATAAATGCAAGGGACAGTTGTGTAGAGAAAAGAAAAGTATTTGATACAGTTGTACATAAGAGTTTTCATATTATATATAAATATATATATATATATATCTTTTACAGAGGCTATTTTAATCTTTAGTGCATGGAAAACTGAGTGAAACTTTACAAACTTTTGGCAATATTGTTTTCAGTATCAGGTTGCTGTTAAATTTTTCAAGAGAGAGAATTCTGGTGCCTTAATGCATAAGCAGACCTTTAAAAACCCAGGCTGTTTCAAAGGAATTGTCAAGCTTTGCTATGGAAATTCCTTTAGATCAAGCATTGGTTGGGTTATTTAGCACAAATCCCCTCCCCCTGGAAATTGATTGCACTTAGCAGGTTTAAACTGAGATCTTAAATTATTTCCAAGAAACGCTAAATGGAGCGTAGAGGGAGAGCCAAGCAATTACCACAAAAGAAAAAGTAATACATAGCAACCTTTTTTTTTCTTTATGGAAGAACTTAAATTCATTCCCCTTCAGAATTGCCCTGAAGAGCTAAGGTTAAATATTAGCTGGGATAGTCCGTCTGTCAATTCAGCAGAGCAGCACAGAGGCATAAAGTTTAATTCAACTACTGTGCACACTTGCAAAAAGGAAAGCTAAAATCATTGCTAACAACAAAAATACATGCAGTAGGGGGTGGGTTTGTTTTTTCTTTTTGCACCTGTCACAAACTTAATGGCCTCGTACCCTTGTAACTATAGCAGTATAGTTAAAGCGGTTCTACCCTTCCCAGTGTGAATGCCGTCATCCTGCTCTAAAGGTAATTATGTGAACACAGCTTATTCCTGTATGGAAAGGGAAGTAAGTCACACGAGTATCAGACAACTTTATAGAAGTATAACTGCATCCATAGTGGGCTTGTAGCTGTATTATTGTCCCAGTAATAAAAATCACACCCCTAAATTACCATTATACAGGCTGTGTGCAGACTATGCCTGAGACACATGACCCATTTTCCCTATGGCACTGTATTAAGTCGTCTCTTTGCCGCACATAGATCCCCTGAGCTGCAGCACGCCACGTCGGTGTGCACGCACAGACAGTAATGGCTATCGCCTTGTCTGTGAACGTTGACCTCAGGACCATGATTACCCCTTCGTGCCGCAGTTCCGAGCTAGTTGGAAATATACGGATTTAGAAGCAAGAGTATATGTTGGTAGGTGGCCTTCCTGGTTTAAAGGGACGAGTGCCACGTTAGTGCAGGGTCTTTAAGTTCATCCATGAATTTAAAAAAAACAAACAAACTGGTCAAATGGCTCTGTCATTTATAACTTCAGTCTGAAGCTTTTTATTTTTAGAACAGCTGCTTCTGTTGGTATCTGTGGATGGATGGGTTGGTTTGTTTTCAGTTCTGCTAATACAAGTTTACTAGACTTTGGTGATGACTACTCTGGGGAAAGGTTGGTTCTTTTCTGTTTGTTTTTTTCTTTTTCTTAGAAGCAACTAAAGGCCAGTTTCATCAGAGCAGGGTCTGGTGGAAATCCTGCTCACATCACTACGGTAGCTCACAGCAGGTGTCAGAAGTCAGGGCAGTGAGACCTTATCAAGGCCTTGATTCAGAAAAGCAGCTGTGTTCCGAACAATACTAAAGACCTATTACTTTTCTAAATGAGGGCCCAAGAGACCCACCCATATTATCCCAAGCTCCACTTTCATTAAAAGACTGCCACCCTTAATAATCTGATTTCTCAGTCCTTTGAGTGGTAGCCTAAAACACATTTCACTGTAAATTATCACTGACCCTGGCTTTTATGAAGCAAGGCATAATTTAGCCAGCTACCTTTCTAGACCAGTTTCTAACTGTAGACACATTTGCACTTTGTGGCAGGTGACTAATTATGTTGAGTGCCAACTTTTAACTCTTCAGCAAATCAAAAGTGAAAGAGATGGACGATAGTAAATAAATAAACCAACATGTATTTGTCCCATGAACTGAGAAAAATATGCTTTAGAACTAACTTTGAAAGTGAAAACAACAGTGGGATATGAGTGGGACATACACAAGGAAGATGCGAATGACTTGATTGACCAATTTTGCTGGCAGAAATGTCATCACCGTTGCAAATATTAAGCACATTTGCCACATTAACGTTTGAAAATAATGTATTTTTAATAACGTTAACTGTTTCATGTTACTTCCACTAAATATGTGAATCTGCTGCTTCTGAGAGGCAATGTGAAAGAGGAAGTATTACTTTTGTGTACAAAGTTATTTATTAGAAAATTTGGTACAATATTGTATGTTGAAAAAACCGTTAAATATTGAAGTGTCTAACAAATGGCATTGAAGTGTCTTTAATAAAGGTTCATTTATAATATTACAGCTTTTTTGTTGGGAGTGAGCTTTTCAGAGTTTCAGCTGAAAAAAATAAAACCCAAGCAGTTGCTTACATGCGTCTCTGTTTCTAATGAAAATGTGTTAATATCGGGACGTAACCATTTCAAAACACCCATTTGTCAAATTGCATTCAATAGACAGAGAATTCTGTAGGGTAAACCAACATTGGGTACTGGAAATATGACCCTAGCATGGTAAAGTTGGGAACTGTAGCTGAGATACACAGTGAAGAATTCATATGAAGTAAATTTCCAATATAAAAAATATCAGTTGCCTACACGTCTCCATTGGAGCCAAAGCCAGATGGACTACATTTTTGAACACCTTCAACCTTCCTTAGTTCCACTCGTAACACTATCACTACCTATTATGGAGGCTTCAGTTTCAGAGTTAAGGATGAGCTTAATTTTCCATTTCAAGCAAGTATTCAATCTTTGGTGTGTGTGATTTGGGTTTGGTTTTTTTAAGTGTAGCCTCTCCAAAAATACAGCTCTTTGAAACGAGAGTGTTCTCTGAAAATATAAAATAAAAATGTTGTCTTTAAGGAATTTAGTGTCTAGTGTCAGACAACTTTTTTTTGGCCCTCAATTATTGAATGATATGAACTTTTCAAACTTTACATACAGTTAAATCGCAATTATATCTTGTGCACAGGCTGTCATTGAAGACCTTTTTTGTCTTTTAAGGCTGAATGGTCTCTTTCCCCGTTATTCATCACTGAAAGTTTCTCCTTCGGCAGGGTGTGATGAATAGTATTCTACTAGAGAGAATTCTACCAAGGCCTCCTCTCTCCTCCCTCATAGCTGCCATATCCAACTGTGCCCAAGCCACAGATGGCCTCCGTTTGGTACCTTGGGGACTGACTTTGATTCCGGTGGCTCACTGTACAGAGCCAGCCAGTCACTGAAAGAAGCGTTGGGCCATTAGGTGGGATGCTGTCCTAGAAAGTCTGTTGCGTGGTAAACGGCGTATACCGCATGCTCCACCTTTCGTTGCGGCTTACCTGGAGAGTAAGTAGCCCCTATATCAGCCCCGCTCAATTCTTCCACTCAGCGCAGGGTCGCATCGGAAACCCTGAGATCGACCCTCAGAAACCAGGGGCTGCAGCAGCATGATCACTGGTATGTCAGGGGAAAGAGCTGGACCTGTCTCGGTGCACGCAGCAGCACCAATGGATTTTCATGGGCCTTCATCGTAGACTGTGGTCCACAGCAAGAACCGTGGGGAGAAGGAAGAGAGACCGGCCGGCCAGTGGAGAGGTTCCTCCATTGTGAAAGCACTTTCAAGTTTCCATTGGATCCAGTGCGAGAGACAGGCACACAGCAGGAGGGACAATATATGAAGAAATTGTGGTCCAGATTTTTAAAGACTTTCGAACTCCTTCGTGCATGGATTGTAACTACGGTTAGTACAGGGCATCACTACAGAGCAGCGTTAAGCATCTTTGTGTAGCCAGACCTTAACCTGTTCGGATATCTTGTATAGTTAATCTTAACTTGGAATTGCCTGGGTTTTGAGTGCTTGGTTTTGGGATAGGCACCACAGCCTTGTCATGTATTTCACTCTAAATTACTGTTATACTCACTCTGTATATTTTAACATCGTCTTGGGCTGGGCCTATGAAAGAGGCACGTGTGACCATTGTCATTACAGAAGTCTAGACTTCCATTCTTCATTTTGTTTGCAGTAAAATATGTATAAGAAAAGGCTGATTCCAGAACTGATGTTTCAAAAGCGCAAAACACAGACCCAAGAGAAATCTGAGTCCTGTTCTGATAACTCCTCCAATATCCACCTTACTTGTTACTTGTTGAAAAGCAAACAAAACACAGGCCCATAAAGAGCTTTGAGCTGGTAGCTAGCTTTTCCGAATGAATTCTAAATCCTCCCCCCCATCCAAAAAAAAAGAGATCAACAGTACAATGCAGAAAAGTACATTGTGTAATGTCATTAACTAGATTGCACTCACAGGTTGGGCTACAAGAGGCTTAGAGTATTGTTACAGCATCATGGCAGCTAGCGCAATCAGCCAGCCAATTTGGGACTAAGATCTCCCTAGGGATGAGCGTGGGCAGAAATTCCAGTTTTTAAGAATTTGTCCCTTTTGCTCTGCAAGTTTTCCTACTGTTCTCTGAGCAAGTGCTAAATTTCAGTATCCTGCATAAAGGCAGCCAGTTTCTCTGAACCCGCACAGTTAACTAGCAGTCACTAAAGATCCAGCACCATGTATTTGCTTAACAGTGACAGGGTTTTCTTCGGGGGAAAACACACTATTCTGTAGTACGTGCCCTGGAAAAGAGACTAGGGATTGGTTCCAGGAGGAAGAACCTGAAAATTAACACAAAATTAAATGAGATTCTACAGAAGTAGTGTTAGCTCTGGAATATTGGCAGTTTTCTTCTTCTTACCAAAATGTCCTGTTGTTTCAATCAGACACTGTATTCTCTTCCTGGTCTAAAACCTTTATATAATGTTGCTGTGCAGTTTCACAGCTGCGGCCTTACCTCCCCAGAGCTGGTTGCATTAGACACAAGTGTACATTATACACCAAGACTGGAGAATTTGTGCTGGACTCCCACCATTCTTGCTCGTGTAGGTGTAACTGTTGGACACACCAAAATCCTCCACATCAAACCCTCACACCCTGCCTTAATTTTTCCACTTGTCTTTGCTGTTATCAGTGCAGCAAAAAATAAAAATCAGACTCCCTGGTTTGGGAGATTTCTCTGCAAGAAAGCTGAGGAGGTTCAACAAGGACAAGTACAGAGTCCTGCACTTAGAACGGAAGAACCCAATGCACCGCTACAGACTAGGAACCGAATGGCTCAGCAGCAGTTCTGCAGAAAAGGACCTAGGGGTTACAGTGGACGAGAAGCTGGATATGAGTCAACAGTGTGTCCTTGTTACCAAGAAGGCCAATGGCATTTTGGGCTGTATAAGTAGGGGCATTGCCAGCAGATCGAGGGACGTGATCGTTCCCCTCTATTCGACATTGGTGAGGCCTCATGTGGAGTACTGTGTCCAGTTTTGGGCCCCACACTACAAGAAGGATGTGAAAAAATGGGAAAACATCCAGCGGAGGGCAACAAATGATTAGGGGACTGGAACACATGAGTTATGAGGAGAGGCTGAGGGAACTGGGATTGTTTAGTCGGCAGAAGAGAAGAATGAGGGGGGATTTGATAGCTGCTTTCAACTACCTGAAAGGGGGTTCCAAAGAGGATGGATCTAGACTGTTCTCAGTGGTAGCAGATGACAGAACAAGGAGTAATGGTCTCAAGTTGCAGTGGGGGAGGTTTAGGTTGGATATTAGGAAAAACTTTTTCACTAGGAGGGTGGTGAAACACTGGAATGCGTTATTACCTAGGGAGGTGGTGGAATCTCCTTCCTTAGAAGTTTTTAAAGTCAGGCTTGACAAAGCCCTGGCTGGGATGATTTAGTTGGGGATCGGTCCTGCTTTGTGCAGGGGGTTGGACTAGATGACCTCCTGAGGTCCCTTCCAACCCTGATATTCTATGATACAGACCAAGCTGCTGGTGTTACTGCATAGCTTAATTTGGCTCTGTATTAGCTCTATTAATTAAATTTGCATATATTTTATTAGGATGCCAGGCCTCACTGCTCAGTGCTTCTACAAAACCTTATTGTGGAAGTGCCTTCATTCAACTGAACGGTAGTTTCAGGTTCCTAGTTACACCTCTAAAGAGCTATATTAAGCCAAGAGGCTGCTGTAAATTTGGCAGGGTTTTTTGTTTGGTTTTTATTTAAATTTTCAAAATCTTGGACTTTCAGCTCCATTATAATTATCAACAGAAATAGTGGCTTTTTGCCAAGCAGTTAATATTTCCTTTTTGGCCCTGCATATATTCCACTAACTGATTTTAACTAAAGCATCTTTATGCTAAAGGAAGAATTTAAGTAGAGTCTGAGAACATGCTACCATCACCCATCAGAACTATATGCTCAATCTGCCATTTCATCAAGGAGAAGAACCTGTTTGTTTCTATTTGTCACTTGCATTCTGCAGCCAGACCTCTCCTGTTCTGTGCTTCACTACTACAAATCCAGATCTACCTCAGCTTTTGAGAGGCAAAGAAAGAAAAAAAAAAAGGCAAGAGCTGCATTTCTTTTCATAGGCAACATTGTTGGACTGGCTACCTGTAAAATAATACAGCATTGTACTTTTACTGGAGAAATCTGAATCTAATTAAAAAAAAACAACAACCCAAACTGGTTACCAAGTAACAGTGCTTGCTATGCACTTGCAGGTATAAACGGTGGGATAAACTTTCAAAATATGGCTCAAATCGGAAACAAATGGGCATTATTTTTTCCCAGAAGCCTCCCAACTAAGAATACTTTCTGCAGTCTTTAGACGCCTGCTGATTGCAGCTATGTAAACTCTTCCACTGAACTAAAAACAGCCCCGATGCTGAGGATCAGGTGTCTCTAAATAGTGAAAATTCATTTTATTCCATTTTTGCTGCTCAAACCATGTTCTTTTGGTTTATAAAACATTTTCCTTGCATGAGTTCTGATAATGCTGTTTGCAGCTGCTGTAATTAGCTGTTTACCCCCACACGTTACTTTTTTGGCACAAGTCTCTCTATGACTTCACTGCTTTCCATGCTGGGAAATTTTAAGGTAGGGAAATTAGATTATTTAAGGACCTTTTTTTATTGTGAAAATACAAGTTTAGGCTGTTGACCAGCTCCTCAGCCATATGAAGAAGCCTGAGAACAAGCATTCGTACTTTTATGAGTATATTCTTTCTGGAGAACAGCAGAGCTTTGGCTCTTTGCTGTGATTCACAGGAACCTCCATTCCAAGTCAGAGCAGCAAGCTGCGAGTTTTGTCATATGTCCCAAGAAAGATGAATCCTCCCAGACTGATCGCTGTCATTCGAGGGACAACACCTGCAAACAATCTGAAAGAGAAGAGGAAAAACTGCTTCCTATGTTTTCATGGACTAGCAATGAGCAG